AGATTGCAATTAGGAACTTGGTTTATATCCAGATTCCTTCTGAAAACTGGGACTCAAGCGGGCCAATTATTTGAAACAAATGCAATATAGCAAAAAAACAAAATATTATTAGCAATATTAAAATAGATTTAAATTGTTTTGGTGTTAATTGCTGCCACATTGACTTTGACTTACGGCACGCCTATGAGAGAAAGAGACTTGGTAGTCACTTTTTAAATCAACACAACTGTTCAAGTCTTGCAAACTCAGGATCATGACTTCCTTGATTTAGTCTATGTACCTATAGCTGTTTTGAGTCTCCTTTGTGGAGAGAAAAAGTGGGGTAATAATAATAATAATACCTATTAGGCTTATGCATTTCGGCTGAACCTTGATCCATTTCTGCTGGCCAGATTCCGGTAAATCCCGTATCTATCTTTGTGTGCCTCCCAAAAACGGGTGGGTAGCTGAATAGCCTTTTTTGGTCTGCATTCGAAAAATACGGTTAGATCCAGCACGTTGGCAGCAATTGGGACTTACGAGGCTTGTCAGGTTTTACAATGTATTGTAATGTAATATAGCTGAGTCATGCACTGCTAATGGGCTTCTATTGGAAATGCTGAGTCATGCATTAACTGTATATAGAACTTCATTTGGGGAATGTGTTCTGGCCTAGTCCAGGTGATTGTGAATGATGTAATCCTGGGTTTGAGTTAAGTCAATGAGTTGGGAACCAATCAGAGATTGCTATGTGTAATTGTATAGAATTGTATATAAGGAAGTCATGTACAGTGTATATTTCTCCTTGTGCTGTGATGTTGTTCGTCAAAGGCTATATGTAATTAAAAGAACCTGTCTGCTAAGACAAGATATAACTCTATGCTGTGGTAAGTTTGTAATATCATCTAGACTAGGGGAAAGACAATGGTAAAACTGACAACGGCCGGGCATGTGCTCAAGTGTCTGTAAAAGGTTCCAGTGTGACTGCAGGCTGTGGGAGCAGTTGGCTGAAAATACTGCGCAGGAAGAAGCTATTGGAAAGCGCTGAAGTTGTGCAACTGATCTGCTGCTGAATTGTAAAGTTAATCTCAACATTTTTTCCCTTGGCATCCTTTCCTTTCTTCCCTTCAAGGGAGCCCTTGCTGTTATGGCCATCCGACTAAGCTGAAGAAACCAGATTGGCCAAAGGAAAACGGCTAAAACGGATCCATGCACAAGCCTTATATCTGTAATGCAGTCTCTTTCTCACCCTACTGCCTTCTTCCTTATCAAACATTGTTGTCTTTTCTACCGAATCATGTCTTCTCATGTTATGTCCAAAGTACAACACTCTCAGTTTAGTAATCTTCACTTCTAGGCAGAGTTATGGCTTGATTTGCTCTAAAACATTTATTTTGGGGGCTTTGGATTATCTTATTGCCGAAATTGCTTTGGAAGTCTCTTTGCATGCATGTTGCGCAGCCCTAAAACAGGATTTGCCCATTTTTCATAAACTACTGTTCCAACACAACTTGAAGAGGAAAAGTGTTCTTGCCATACATCAAGGGAACCACTGACCATATAGGGAAGCTGATGAGGAAACACAACATACAAACTACAGACCCACCAAGAAAATCCAACAAATGCTACGTTAGCAAAGGACAAGAGAGATCCTCTCACTTCTGCAGGAATCTACTGTATACCATGCATCTGTGGACAAGTCTACAAAGGGACCACCAAACGCAGCATTGCACAAACATGTATCACGGAACATGAAAGGCTCCGCAGACTACTTCAGCCAGAGAAGTCAGCCATGGCAGAGCACCTGATGAACCAACCTGGACCCAGTATATTATTTGAGAACACAGAAATGCTGGACCACTCTCACAACCACCATGTCAGACTACACAGAGAAGCCATTGAAATCCATAAGCATGTGGACAATTTCAACAGAAAGGAGGAAACCATGAAAATGAACAAAATCTGGCTACCAGTATTTAAAAACTCTAAAATTACAACAGCAAAACAACAGAGAGGAAACAAACAAGGACATCTAATCACCTCTCAACAAAAGTTTGCTCCAGGCACTGTGAGGGCATTACATGCTAATCAAGGTGGTCAGTTGAAACATTCATGAGCTCCCTCTATCAGCTCCAGCTCCTCCTGCGGGACATGAGAGAAGCCTCCCACAAGGATGATAAAACATCAAACATCTGGGCGTCCCCTGGGCAACGTCCTTGCAGACAGCCAATTCTCTCACACCAGAAGCGTCTTGCAGTTTCTCAAGTCGCTCCTGACATGTCTACCAAATGTCCCTTTTCATTTTGTTAAACTTCTCAACAAAAGATTGCCCCAGGCACTGCCAGGCCATCAAATGCTAATCAAGGTGGTCAGTTGAAACATTCACACCTAGCTCCAACAGACAAGAATCCTTTGTCCCACCCTGGTCATTCCACAGATATATAAACTCCCTTTCCTAGTTCCAACAGACCTCACTACCTCTGAGGATGCTTGCCATAGATGCAGGAGAAATGTCAGGAGAGAATGCCTCTAGAACATGACTATATAGCCAAAAAAACCTACAACAACCCAGTGATTCTGGCCATGAAAGCCTTCGACAATAACTTGAAGATTGGTTTGCAATGAGTTTAGTGCAACGTCATGCAATGATAAGTATTTTCATTCATGGGTAAGGAGCTTCCAGCGCAGTTTACAAGCATCATGCAATAATGTACTGTGAGACCAGCATTCCCAAGGAATCCTTTTTAAAAAGAAGATAATGCAGGTCTGGCATGATTCATTCCTGGCAAACGCTCAGTAATCAATGCATTCTTTTCTTAATGCTCACAGAGTGGTAGCTTTTAAAAACAGACAGGGCTGTATTTCAGCTCCGCTGTGTAGTGTTCTGTCCCGGATTGAACCCTTTATTGCCACTTGCCACTTTTTAATCCAAACTCTAAATCAGTTTGAAAAGCACGTGGGTCCCCTCATCATATAGAGTTTCTGCTGTGTGCACATGTTCCATATCTCTTTACGGGTGCATCTACACTATAGAATTAATGTAGTTTGACATTGCTTTGACTACCCTGTCTCAATGCTATAGAATCACCGGAGTTGTAGTTTTACATCTTTAGCCTTCTCTGCAAAACAATGCTGGTGCCTCGCCAAACTACAAAACCCAGGATTCCATTCCATTCCAGGGCAGTTAAAGTGGTGTCAAACTGCATTACTTCTGCAATGTAGATGCACCCTATGTTTGGTCATATGATTGCACAGGCTTGGCACGCGGGAGGGGAGGATGTTATCACCATGCATTTGCATGTTTACATAATCAAATAGCTTTTCTCTATTTTCCTTCAATCTGACCACCACAAGCATTCCCATTGAAACAAGTACTGTGAGCATACTTTGCAGCTATCAAAATAAGCTGGACTAAAGGAAAAGTGGGAGGTGAGAGATACAGGGACATTTCAAAAGTAATTGGAAAATAGGATTAACCAGCCAGATTGAAACAGTTGGAGGCTATGTAGGTATTAGGGCTGGGCGGTTTCGTTTCGTTAATTCGTAATTCGTTAATAATTCGTTAATTTTCTTGATTATGAAGCAATAACAAACCATTCTGGAGCAATTTTTTTAAAAAACGATTTTTTAAATACTTTTTGTAAATGCTTCATAATTCGTTATGTATTTGTTTCGTTATCGTTTTGAGGTCGTTTCGTTATTATTTCCGCATGTCTGGGGCAAGTTTTATAGTTGTTTTTTGTTTAATTAGTGAAAAAAAATTATAATATCACACCAACAGTCAACAACAGAGGGAGAAGGAAGCTTCAGAAGTTCCCCCTGTCCCATTTGGAGGTTTTTTAGCGTATTGCGCGGTCGCGTCCGCCATTAACGAATCAATTCGTTATTGTTTCGGAAATCGTTTCATTAATGTTTTGTAATTTTTTTCACATTTACGAAATTTCGTGAATATCGAACTTTTTAAAAGGAAAATTTTGTAATTATTTTAAATAACGAAACGCAAAAACCCCCCAAAAACGAATCCATTTTAGAAACAAATTTTTCCGTTGTTACCCAGGCCTAGTAGGTATCCTTGGGTCATTGGGCAACCCTAATCCGCTTCAAGTTCCTTGTACACATGACTTGAAATAATGGAAAACTGTCATGACCATGACCTCACATATTAAAGTAGCCATTAGTAGTCATCTGGTTCATTTTTGGATGCTCCGCATACCTGAGCACAGTCAACCAAAAGTTAGAGTTCTGGCTTTTGCATTGCTTTTTCCCCTAGCCAGGATAAACAATAGGCATGCACTTACAAGAATTCAGGACACCAGTGGGAAATATCTCTCTCTTTTTTTTACCATTAAACAGGGTCATATCAGAGAAAAATCCCAAATATACTGCTAGCTACAGGGAAAACATGCCACCGCAATATTGCTGAGCATAGCTTACATTCCACATTTTGTCCATCTGTTGCTATTATCCAGGGAAATCATGCTTATAAGCCAGATGCATGCTGAGGACATGACTCCACTGAATGGGCCAAGGTGGACAAAGTTTGGCACAAGGTGCCATTCTTCTAGCTTTGTTTTAACAGTTTCCATGCTACAAGTAAAATGGTCCCAATTTTATTCCTTCCATCTGGTCTTTCTTCTTAATTAATTAGAAGACGTAATATCAGCAAATTTGGGGAAGATCACCCTTTTGGAGTACAGCTTGAGTCCGCAGCGAACATAGCCAATCTGAAATACTGTGGCCCTCCAGATGTTGTTTGATTGCAACTCCCAGCAGCCCCAGCGAGCATACCCAATGGCAAAGGAAGCTGGGAGATGCAGTCAAGCATCTGAGCACAAAATAGAAGGTGTTAAATTAATTTAGTAGGAGCTAAAAAGACTTTTTTTTATTTACCATATGGACCCACCGCCAGTTCACCGATCTTGGAAGACAATCCTACTTGGACAACGAAGGATCGCCTAAGTAAGTAAGTAAAGATAGTAACATGAATAAGATTGGTTAAAACATACCCCACAGGGGCTCACCTTGTGCGAATAATGTTGATCCACAATCCTTGCTAATCCAAAGTCGCCGATCTTCAACACTAAATCTTCTGTGTTAATAAAGATGTTGGCAGGCTTCAAGTCCCTATGCAACACATTGGCTGAGTGGATGTACTTCAATCCCCTGAGCAACTGGTACATGAAAAGTTTGGCATGTTCCTCAGAGAGTGGTCCCTGCTCCAACAGACGGGCCAGGTCAGTCTCCATATATTCCTGGATGACGTACACCATGTTAAATTTAAACAATTCCCCTTGAAGGTCTCTTCCTTTGGGCCCCAACACCTCATAGACCTTCACAATGTTATCGTGATCCAGCCGACGGATTATTTTGATCTCTCGGAAGGCGTGCTTCATGCTCTGTGCATCGCTGATGGTGATCTTCTTCACGGCCACCTTGCGACAACTTTTGCTGTCGACCGCCGATAGGACAAGCCCGTTCACGCCAAAGCCCAAGGGTCTGAAATTGATAAAGCGGCAGCCCAAATCGTAACCATACATGTTTGCAATGTAATCACACTTCTCCGCCATGGTGGTATCTTCTTTGTCTCGGGAATTAAATTCCAACAGAGACCCTGGACCTCCAGATCATCAATGTGGCTTGAAACCAAATGGCTCATTCTGAACATCAATTGAAACCTCTGAGTCTCCTTGCTTGAAGCCCATAGTTACAAAAGAAGAGTTTAAATATTCAAAAGAGACGAGCAGGTGAAGTCGATTTGGAAACAGGCTTGGAAAGGTATTTTTCTCCAAAAGATACAACTATACCCAAGCACATTAATCTAGGAAAGGTCAAGACTCATCAGCATCTCAAAACTATCCCTCTTATTCCCTTTGTTTCTGGGAATATGCCTCAGTGAAACCTATGTAATTTGGAGGACTTTGAAAATATCCTTGGTTACTTAGACACTGATCTTCCGTGACAAGTGTTGGAAATCAATGCATATGCCAGAAATATTTTTTCTCCAGAGATTTCAACAGGTTAATGATTTTCCATGCAAAGCAAGTAGATCCATGTCGATTTGGTGAACTTCATACCAAGTATCTTTAAACTCAAGACCAGTTTTCCATTCTATCATCAGGAAACACATTAAAAGAAGAAAAAAAGTACTATCCCCATCAGTTGATCTTAGTGCCATTCATCTAAATACTCAATTTCTTTCCATTCTTCCATATTCTTTATCTGTTGATGTATGTATTGTTTGATCTTCAGAGTGCCTCATCTCCTGGTTGCTTATTACGGAAGCGTCTCCTGCAAAAGAAAATAAAACACAAGGAGATTAACACAATTCATAATAATGCAATTCCTTTCATCCTGAACAGAATGGACAGTATAAACAATAAGCTTTTGAGAAACTCAAGTGTTATTCTTACTAAATGATAGTGAAAGCACACACCCAACACCCTTTCTTTTTCTATGCCCATAAAACAGCTTTTTTCCTATCTGAACAACTCTCAACACAGGATGCAAACCCTTTGAGGGATGTGAGTCTCAAAAGTTGGTGGCACAGTGGGTTAAACCACTGAGCTGCTAAACTTGGTGACTGAAAGGTCGCAGGTTCGAATCCAGGGAGCGGCATGAGCTTCCGTTGTCAGTCCCAGCTTCTGCCAACCTAGAAGTTTTGAAAACATGCAAATGTGAGTAGATCAATAGGTGCCACTCCAGGAGGAAGGTAATGGTGCTCCATGCAGTCATGCCGGCCACATGACCTTGGAGATGTCTACAGACAACACCGGCTCTTCGGCTTAGAAATGGAGATGAACACCAGCCCCCAGAGTCAGACACCACTGGACTTAATGTCAGTGGAAAACCTTTACCTAGGATGTAGTAGGTAATGATGCTTTATCTGAAGTTGTGAAAGGCCTGAGCTGCTGGCTCTAGCACATCAATTTTTCCCATCTTGGGAGAAAAATCAGTGAAAGAAAATACATCCTGCATATCATTATGATTAATAACAGTAGCAAAATTATAGTTATGAAATAGCAACAAAAATAATGTTATGGTTGGGGTCACCACAGCATGAAGAACTGTATTAAGGATCAGGAAGCAACTGGATCAGGAAGCAGTGTTAGGAAGGTTGAGAACTGCTGGCTTAAATAATTCTGTTCTGTGGATTTGTAACTGCTTGACCAACCAAACTCAAGGAGTGCTTATCAATGTTTTCTCTTCATCCTGGAGAGAAATCTCTAGTGGGGTGACACACAATTACGTTCTGAGCCCAGTCTTGAGCAACATCTTGATAGACTACTAGATTGACATTTTTTATTCATGTCAGGAACGACTTGAGAAACTACAAGTCGCTTCTGAGGTGTGAGAATTGGCTGTCTGCAAGGACATTGCCCAGGGGATGCCCGGATGTTTTACCATCCTATGGGAGACTTCTCTCATGTTCCCACATAAGAAGCTGGAGCTGATAGAGGGGAGCTCACCCCACTCCCTAGATTCAAACCACTCACTGCTAGAAGAAATAGCTAAAGCCACACAGAAAAGGACCACAATGCAGATGCTTTGTGGTGCAAGCTAAACATGAGTCAACAGTGTAATATGGACACCCAAAAGAGCCAATGTAATTATAGACTGCATTGGGAGGAACATCATTTCTACATCAAGTGAAATAAAAGAACTCTGTTCAGCTTTGGTCAGACCTCACCAGAGGAAGACTGTGCCCAGTTCTGGGCATGACAGTCCAAGATGGTTTTGAGCAAATGGAACAATCCCAAAGAAAGGAAACCAAAATTATTAAAAGTCTGAAAATCCTATGAGGAGCCCTATAAGGAAAACTGTGCTGTCATGCACTGGGCCTATAGCAATTGGCTTTTTAACAGGACGTACTCTTTGTGCCCAGCGGGAAGCCGGGGTGCCTCAAGTGAGAGGCCCTAAGGATTTTCCTATACAGAGTCTTTAAAAGCTTGAAAAGTTTAACAAAGTCCTTTATTATTGCTTAGGTCTTCAACAAACAAATGCTTCTCAGATCTTCAACAGGTCAAACAAATACTTCAAGGCTTTGAATCAACTGGTGGCTTTCTTAATCTTGTCCACAAGGGACAGGCAACTAGCTTCGTGAACTGTTTTTTTTTCTTTAAGAGGAAAACCCCTTTTAACCCCTCCTTGGGCGATCTACTTTCTAAACTTTGCTGGTGTGGGCTCTACTCCCGGCTCCAAACTGCTTCTTGGGTCCCAAGTAGACCTACCAGTCAAGGCTTTGTAGATTCTCCAGCTGGAGTCCTTTGGAACTGTTTTCCCCCGGAATTTCGTAAGAAACGAAGCTTCTCTACAGATGGAGCTGATTCGCGTCCTGTAGCTAAGCTTTCAACTGTAAGATTGAGCTAAAATGGCTCCCTTTCCTTCCTGAACCCTGGGCAAAGGGGCAGAACTAAAAAACCCCAACGTGATAGGCAGGTGGCTGCAAACCAAGGGAAGCCACCTTATTGCAAAATGCATGGAACTTTGACATACATGCAAATACTCAATAGAAAGAAAATGAAGTAGGAGCTCCACTATCCAAGGAATAAACTGCCTCAGTAGGTGGTGGATTGTCCTTTTTTGGAGACTTTTAAACATAGGTTTCATGGCCACGGGCTGAGCATTCCTGCATGATAGGCAATTGGACTAGGTGACCCTTGCAGTCCCTTTGAATTTTCTTAACTCTATGATTTTGAAAGAAAATTCATCACAGTTCAGTTCAGTTTTATTTTGCAAAGTGCTACATTCAAGGATTTGTGCATGCAATTAGGAACATATTGCCAACAGCATTTCTTATCACTCCCAAAAGCATTGAACCAAGCTTTAGATGCACTGAGACATAGCCGTAAATTCCACCCCTTCATTAAGATTTCAGCTCCGCACAGACTTTACACTTACAGAAGTCCCAGGACTATCAACAGAATATAATCCTTGCCAGACAAAAGACTGAAAGAAATGTTTTTGTATGATACCTGGCCCAATCTTGTTTTCATAGTAGCTTCCTTGCAACGGACATAAGATGAAGAAGCCAAAATGCAGGTAGTGGGCAGATGAACCGAAGTGGAACAACTCTGACACTAAACTGGATCAGGAAGCAAATGAAATGCCCGACTAATTCAGCTCCTGAAGTGGTTTCTTTCATCCCTGCAGACAGACTGGCATGTGTGTACTACTCAAGGGAAGGTGACTGGAAACCTGCCTCTGATAAAGATCTTGCATTTCTGAAATGCTGACTGATCCTGGGCTATATATAGCACCTCATGACGGTGCCAAATGAAGAGAGGCCAACAGTAGGGTGAAAAAAATGCAACAGTTGTTTAGTCATGAAAAGCAAGACTGAGAAAGAGATCTGCTGCACACAATTTCCTGTTCTTAGAAGGACATCAAAACACAGGCTGGCCCATAACAGAGAATCCTGTCCCATCCAAAATTTCAAGCAGGTTGAATAATAGAAGACTCAGGACCTGTCCAGACAGGACCTTTATTGAGGTATCTACCACAATAAAGGAGGGGCTGTCCAGACAATGTTCTGGACAGTCCCGAATTAATTCGCCACAAACCAGGAAAACCCTGGTTTGTAGTGAATTAATTAGATAGCGAGTTTATTTCACGCCTTCTTGGTTTCCGGTTCTGGACTGCAGAATACTGCAGTTCAGACAGCATTCCCACAATTTACCAGGCTAAATAAGCCCAGTAAACTGTGGGGTGGTGACGGCCGACAGGGAGCTCTGGCGTGGGCTGGTCCATGAGGTCACGAAGAGTCAGAGACGACTAAACGAATGAACAACAAACTGTGGGAGGGAGCCCCCGGTGGCGCAGTGGGTTAAAGCACTGAGCTGCTGAGCTTGTTGATCGAAAGGTCGCAGGTTCAATTCCGGGGAGCGGCATGAGCTTCCGCTGTCAGCCCTAGGTTCTGCCAACCTAGCAGTTCGAAAACATGCAAATGTGAGTAGATCAATAGGTACCGCTCCGGCGGGAAGGTAACGGCGCTCCATGCAGTCATGCCGGCCACATGACCTTGGAGGTGTCTACGGACAACGCCGGCTCTTCGGCTTAGAAATGGAGATGAGCACCACACCCCAGAGTCAGACATGACTGGACTTAATGTCAGGGGACAACCTTTACCTTTACTGTAGGAATCTCACCCTTCTCCCCCACAGGCCCCAAACCCCTTTAAAAAGTAAAATAAACTTACCCGGCCTCCATTACATTCTTGCCAGAGCTCTCCCAGCATGTGGAAATGACGCGCCAGGAGAGGGGGGAGGAGGAGCAATTTTCCTCCCCCCCTCGCCGTTCATACCATGTTGAAAGTAAATGAAAAATGCTTTACTTCAGCAAAACATAAGAGAACAGCACACACAGTTGTAAAATGCAAAAGAAACCAAAGAAGTCTTAATGCAGGCACAATACTCAAGTCTCTGATAAAGTCCAAAATAAAACAGCAGTCTCACATCAGATGAAGAACAACGTGCATTGACCAATAAATCCTTAGAAGCAATGTCTCAAACACAGACTCGAAGCAGGTACAAATGGGAGCAAAGGCATAAGCGTCAGGGTTGTTTGTTACTAGCAAAAGCTGACTACTCCTGCTTCTGATTTATAGCCTTGAATTCCCCACGCAGGAGGTGCTGGGCCGTTCCCAATTACTTTGTTCTTTCTAGCAGCTATTCTAGCTAAACGGTATCTCTGCTCTGTTTCCTTTCGCCTTTCCAGAAATGTGGGCACTTGCAAAGGCTCATCCTCTGATTCTAATTCCCCTTCTGATTCCCGGACACTATCCTGTTCCCCTTCTTCTTCTGAAGATGAGGAATCCCTAAAAAGGGAGTGGGGAGGAAAATTGCTGCCCCCTACTCCCCTGGCACATCATTTCTATGTACTGAGAGAGCTGGCTGAAGCCTGTAATGGAGGCCAGGTAAGTTTTAATTGGGTTATATGGCCATGGCCTAGAGGTATTCTCTCCTGACGTTTCGCCTGCATCTATGTCAGGCATCTTCAGAGGTAGTGAGGTCTGTTGGAACTAGGAAAAGGGTTTATATCTGTGGAATGACCAGGGGATACAAAGGACTCTTGTCTGCTGGAGCTAGGTGTGAATGTTTCAACTGACCACCTTGATTAGCATTTGATGGCCGGGCAGTGCCTGGGGCAATCTTTTGTTGAGAGGTGATTAGATGTCCTTGTTTGTTTCCTCTCTGTTGCTTTCCTGTTGTAATTTGAGAGTTTTTTAATACTGGTAGCCAGATTTTGTTCATTTTCATGGTTTCCTCCTTTCTGTTGAAATTGTCCACATG